GATTTAGCCCTGACAATAAGTCATTCAGCTGTGACAGTCTACAGTAGTTAAAAGATTTCCTACAGTAGGAAAGCTGTGCTTTCTGATTTAGGTATGCTTTTTTCTTTCTTTTTTTTTTTCCCTTCTTTCTTCCTTCTTCTTCTTTTTTTTTTTTTTAAGAGCAACACACGATCTTATTTGTTTTGAGGGTTCTGAACACATTTCTAAATGTTAAAAAACAATTCATTTTTGTGGTAATTTGATGTTAGGTTAATAGAGGAATATAGAATACAGAGCTATATATTCAGGGTTAGAAACTGCTGTTGTAGTAAAGATATTATCCCAAAGTGTGTAAGAGTTGGTAGCAAGGAGGACAAGGGAATTTTTGTGTATTTTCTTCCTCTTTTTATCTTTACAGAATACTTGGGTACTTACAAGGCCTATGCAATGCCTCAGCATTAATACTGAGTCCTGTTGTGAACAGTATTGTGATCTGACACATTTACGTTAGGAATTGCTTGTTGGTAATCAATAGATTGTTTGAAATAATTGGTGAATGAGACAGGGCAAGGCCAATCAGTGGAAATCTCCCCCTCGCCCCCCCAAAAAAAAATAAATAAAAGTGGAAAGTAAAATAATAGTATGAAAGATATTGCTGAAATTGTTTATGGAGTGCACAAATGCTGTATTTATATTTGGTCCCTGGTCCTGTCAAGAATCTAATAAATAGGAAAGGCTCTCTTGAAAACTTCCTGCTTTTCCTGTGCTTACGTAGTCTGTCTGCAATTGCTAGTTGCTATTGTTAGAGGCAAATTAATTTCAGGAGTCAAGGTTTATATAATTGCAGATGTTTCTGAGGGCATCTAATTAACTTAAGTCAACATTCCTAAAGCTTAAGATAGTTCGATCCCCCGAGCTTTAGTAACTAGGTCTTTTTCCTGGCTAGTCTCTACATATACACCTCTAGGACAGTTGTATTCAAAACTCAGAGAGATATAAATTGAGACAAACAAATGTTGAAAATGGTGGGATATTTCCTGTTACAGAGGCATGGGGTTTTCCTTCTGATTTATTCATTTATTTATTTAAAATTTTATTTCTTGTGGTATTCTTCTACTGTTGATGCGTCTACACAAAGAGAGGCTTTCATGTTGGTTTGAAAGAAGGCTCTGCTGGGCCACAATGTTATTGCTCGTGTTTGATGGAGTCTTCTGTCATCCTGCACCTAATACTGAAGCTGTCTAGTCTCCATTTCTTCATACTCTTTGTCTTTTGTAAGTGCATCCTTTGTAGTGCCTCTGGAGAAAAGATATAAACTGATTTTTAGCTCTTAATCATCTGTTCTTTAATTACAGAGCTTAGTAAGTACCACATCCTTGTACAGGAACTCCTAGCAGTGAAGGGGGGGCGGGGGGAAGATACAGGACAGCTACAGGAAAGCTTTGTAGCTAGCTTTACTCTGTGAAGAAAATGCTTTCAGTAAAGTGAAAGCTGAGTAATGTCTTTTCTATTCCTGTCCCCAGGCATTTATAACTTCTGTTAGTGGGAATACAGGAGAATGATGGGAATTCAGCTGTATGTAACTTGTTCCAGTTCTGTGCTGATAATGAGGAGAGCCAGAGCAAACATACTGTGTACTGACCAGACATTTTACAAGCTTCAGCTTGGGAATGGAAAACTGGACTCCTCTTCCGTCTGTAGGCACCTTCCATAGGGAGTATTTATTAAGTGGGTAGTCATTTAATATATAAATAGAGAGAAATAGTTCAGTTTGGAGAAATAGGCATTAATTGGTTTTAGCCTTAATTGATATTGATATTATATGATATTGATATTATATTAATGTTATTGACATTGACTTTTTTTTTTTTCTCCTTTGCCTTTTAGAGTGATTTTGTGGAATCTCTGTTAGTTTAATTCTTGGGTACTGTGATGTTACTGGTATCATATAGCCATGACAGATGAAGGAACTGCTTAGAAGCATGATCTGAGACTCTGGTGTCCTGCAATTTGGAAAGTATTCAGACCTTCAAATCTCATTGCCGTTTTTCTGACAAATCATATACTAATTAAAGATTTTGATATTTAAATATTCTCTAATACATTGTCTGGATGTTGTTTTTTATGCTGAAGCATTCTTGAAAAGAATGTACTATTCACATGGAGCAGCCTCAGATGATGATTTCGGTTAACTGTGATACAAAGTTTGCCCTTGTCCTTATGCATTTTGAAGTGATATTTGAAGCTGTATTTTCTCTTACCGTTGAGCACATCTATCGTTTTTTTATCCTTGACATTAATTGATTTCACAGACTAAAAGTTGGCAGAATAAAAATTGTGTTTTCTCTTGCTAGTGTTAACTGAAGCATGTTCTATGGGCCCAATGCTCCTCAATATCTTCAGAGCAAAACTGGAATTTTATACCATTCCTCATGTTGATGGAAATCCTTACAGTCTATTCATAAGACTGGTTTTAAAACAATGTACAGTATTCTTCATATGACTTCAGTAAGAGGATCTGGATTTTCTCTAATGGTTGTAATAGTCTATTATTACCAGTAGAGCTCATTCTCACAGAATTTGCTTTCTATGTTGCTATGCTGTCCATGTCTTAGACAACTCAGATCAGAAAGCATTTGCAGTCTGCCCCTTAAATAAATTTAGCTAGCTTACTGATCTATTTGTGAGATCATGTGTGGAGTATTTCAGCTCTCTCTTAAGTACTTTAAATACATATATATATTTATATTTTTAAGACTATTTATTTTCCAGGAGTAGCAAATATTTATTTCTACTTATACATATGAACTTCATCTACAGATGAAATGCTGAAAGAAGGCTGACTATAAATATACTAGTATTAGATCTTATCAGTCTCTCTTTTAATGATACTGAGCAAAAATACTGTGCCTGTTTAACTGGTAAAAGAAAAGAAAGAATTATGCCCTGTTTATTTTTAATAGACTTTCCTAATTCCATTAATGTGGAACAGATATCCTTTCAACAGCAATGTAAGCCCAGCTTTTACCCGTGTCCCCATATAAGGGAAAGAAAACTCTAAATAATATTTTCTCTTCAAAATACTTGCAGTCTGTAAAATGCTATGTAATGGTCCTCTGATCTGCTGAGACTTATTCAACTGACTCAACAGAAATAAAAAACTTAAGAAATAACAAGTAGAGATCAGCGAGTGACCTTATGCTGCACTGCCATGAAATCATCGTCAATTTTTCATCTAAACTGTATTTCCATTACTCCTGTTCTGACAAATGTCTAACTAGATGTGTGTCAATAACTGCAGGGGTGATGAATCCCTTCTTCTTTCCACCTTGAGCACCCTGCAGTGCAAAGGAAATTCAGATCATGGGTTGGAGCATTCTCATAGACAGGAAAAGTGTTCCTGGAGCATACGGGAAGTCCATATGTTGGACAGAGTGTTGTTTAATTTCAAACATACTGAGTGTTCTACCAGTGTTTTCGTACTCTACAGAGAGAAAAGTGTCCATCTAACTATGATCACTCCTGTGTGTCAGACATTTTGGTTTGCACAGATTGCATTTATATTCTTAGCTTACTTTTGTTTTTAGGACTTGTCTGTCTGTGCAAGAATGGATGGAGTGATGTTGTTCTCTCTGATTTTTTTCTTTTAATGTTTGGAATCACTTCAAGCAAGTTTAGATGTTCATAATTTGGTGCAGGCTTAGGGAATTCTGAGAGGAAGCAGACCATTCTTTAGTAGCATATGTATCTCTTCTTGCCTTTGGCCCCTTTTTATCTACATGAAAGGCAGATGTCTATGTATGCCTCTTTTTTATTGAGAATCAGGAGCTTGATGGTTCAGGAAAATCAAGTAAATCACTATGTAGTGATGAACATAGTTCTTGATATACTTTATCAATCATTTCCATGGGTTAAAAGTACAGCATGGTGCGCTAAATATGAAACCAGTTTATATGCTTGATCTTTTCAGAAATTAGTAATTTTAAATTATATATTAGCAATGTAATTTGTTTTGTTTATTGTTATTGTATTCTTTTCTAAAATATTTGTATTGAAATCCTTTGAATTAGCTAGGGCGGCAGGTTTAGCAGGGATGATGAATTGCCTGTAGTGGTGTTAAATAAGATTATTTTTTATATTCAGCAAAACCACGATTAAAGAGGGACATGTCTTATTTAATCAGTCATTAGTGTCTCTTAACATAAGAATTTGTTTATTATTTCCTCCTTAATAAAATTCTATCATAATACATTGTGAAAACCATAATCAAAATAGGTGCAATTGAGCCAAACCTTAGCAAAAAGAGATCTCTGTTTGGTTGGATGGCTTGTTCTCCTATTTTGTTAATACTTAGTCATTTTTTTAGATAGAAATAAAAGGTGTAACATATATTTAAACAAATGTATTTTTGTGCAGGCTTCATAACATAGGCAGTGAATGAATTTACCTGTAATTACACTTTGAATGATTCCATCTATTATTTCAATGCTTTAAAGCAATACTAGACAATTTTCTCCAGGATCATCTTTAGTATTGATACAGTATTTAGTGTATGATACGTTGTCTATATTATTTCTGTTCATCTCTGTGTGGCATACCTTTTGTCAGAAAGGTTTGCCTAAACTGAACTCCTGTGCCAGATAGATTCTGATTGTGCAATCGATGGGTTATTTACCAATACAGAAACTCTCACCACAGTCTGGAGTGTTTGCCAGTCCAGCGACAAGACGGCTATAGGTTTGTGTAACAAAGATGTATTTATATTGCAATTCCTGGCAGATCTTGGCTGTGTTGGATCATTCCTGTGCTGACCAATAGAATTAACATAAATTGTTCCTTCAGTTCTGTACCAACTGTTCTAGCCAGGGTAAAATTAAAATACTGCTCAGAGACGCATATATTCTATGTCAAAACAAAGCAACGTGTATTGGAGCTGCAGTGCAGGAGGCAGTAATAATTATCATATCTAATATTATTTCAATTATTGTCATCTGTATGTCAGCTCAAGGTGTCATAGGCAAATGGGATCTTTGCCCAAAGTGCGTAACGTCTACGTTCTTACTTGGCGCTTTGTGTCACAGGGATTGCAGGGCTCTGGAACCGTGGTGGCTCTGAACTCTCAAGAAGCAGTGGAAGGTGCAGGCTTAGGCAATTCTCTCGGCTTGCCCCAGGCTAAGGAGGTAACCAAGATTCTGTCTCCTGAAACCTCTTTGGTTTTTCTGGAGGACATTTTAGCAAAGTGATTGCTATTTCTTCCACACTGGATTCACATTTTCCTCTGGAGTGTTACCTCTTGGCAGAGTGTTGGGTAGGCATTTAGGGCTAAGTCTCTGCTTAAACTTACCTTTCTCTGGTACACCTTATGTCCTTAGCAGTTTCAAATATTCTTCCCTGAAATGTAAATATTGTTTTTCAGTTTTCTATGCTTTTATCATTGGATGTTAAAGAAGAAAAATTTTCAATAAATTAATACTAATGTTGCACTTCTCCAAATATGAAAATTTACATTTTTTTTTTGTTTCTGCAGTAATCTACTTTACCCTTTCTCTCTCATTAAAGGAAAAACCTACATCAGCACAACAAAAATAAATGTTTTAGATTGCTACTGTATATTGCCTTTCAGCACACTTTAATTAAAGTGGCGTTTGTTTGTCCTACAATATTACCATTCCCTAATCGATGTACTGAGCAAGCACCATGGTGACAAGATAAGTTGCTTTGTTTTGTTCCATATGTCCATGTTCCAAGTTTTCCATAGTTTTAATTGGTTCCCTGCAGAATAACATTTACAACCATATGGTATGGAAAATGCTGACTGCATTTGTTATCATATATTTTAGTGTATTGGTGGCACCAGATCACTAAGCTTTTAAATGTGATTATGAGGTTATTTAATGCAGTCAATAGTGTGCTTAAAACATAGCAAAATTCTGCAGTTAGTCAAATGGTGTCAAGGAAATATGTTTGAATCCCTTCTTAATGCTTCAAGGATAGATGGGGAAGTCTGATTCAGAAAAGGTTTTGTGCAGTGTTTATGCTGAAACATATTTTGTCAGCTAAGAGCAATTTGAAAAGGTCTGTGGAGACTGTTTGCCATCACAGAAAGAGGACTGTGCATGAGAACATGAAATATGCAAGGAATGTGGAGTGCAGCAAAAAAAAGCCCTCAAATAAATGATATCAGCAGAGATATTAACTGGTCAAATATAGTACAGGACTAGCCCTTACATCTCATATGTCTGCCTTTGGATACATCAGCACTGCGTTTTCACAGTGATCCTGCTCTGAAAAGTGATCGGTAGTCCAAAAGAGAGTGTGTTTGACTCATAGGACCACAGCTAAAGTAAGCATGTATGAAGGTCTAGGGTGAACCATATTGTTGTGAGTTTTGGATTAGGCCTTTTTGATTTGTGTTGGAAGGGTGGGTCTGTACCATGGTGGAAATTTTTGATTTGGTTTTCCTACAGAGACAAACCCACTGAGTTGGTTTCAGGCAGCTCCAAGAAGTGCTCAGTGGGTCGGTGTTAAAGACCTGTTCAGAATTCAGGAGCAGAGTGGAAACAGCCCATACAATCGGAGAAAGAGGATCCATCCATGCATGATGTATGGATGACATGCATATGGCTTCATAAGGTGCCATATTCTTTACATCCAAGCCTCAAAACAGTCTGACTTGTCTAGCAGTCTAATTACTTTCCATTTTTTTACTTCTTATATCATGAATGTAAAGAGGAGTATTGGACACCCTGGACATTTTGAAGAATATTGGAGCACGTGTTTTAGGTTTATGAGTGGCTAGGTATCTACTAAAAAGCATATATATGTCAGATGTATTACATGGATGTGATTATGCATTTTATGTAACTCATGCAACACATGTAAGGCTCTGATGTAACTACTATAGTGAGGCAATTCAGGGATCTATATGGAATACAAACATCAGTCAATGTATATATAAAAGATCAATGACTTCTCATAATGGTGTGTATGTTTCTTTTTCTTCATAACATCCCAAATCACAAAATAGATTATTTTGTAAAATCAATCAATAAATTCACTTTGCATTTTCGTTTGCTAATGCACTGTCACTTCACCAATAATGCAGCTCTGGAAGACAATTTTTAATGCATGGTTAGTTTTGCAACAGGTCAACTTGCTATCTATCTCTAAGAAAGACACTTGTACAATCTTATTGTAATTCTCTCACGCAAGAAGAAACTATCAGTGGTAAGAAGGGGATTTGGGGAAAATTATTCTGGACATCAGTGTGTGCATCTGGCATAAAGGGCAAAAGAGGAGTACTGTTAATTGGTTTCAGGTTTTTAGCATGGTAAAAGAAATGGTGACTAAAATCAGAACAATGTAAGAAAATACTGCCTCTCTTTGGAGACTCAAGGCTTACTAGACTTACTAGAGTGTGAGGGGAAAAAAACAAAGGCATTTTTAACAAAACAGAGTTTCAAAAACATACTGAAAAAAAGCAAACAGTGAGTTTAGCCTCTTAGCTCTTCCAGCCATGATTTGTCTCTCTTGGCTAAAGGTGTGTCAAGTATTTCAATGCATGTCACTAATGAGAATCCAAGTAAGTCTGAAAGTAAAGATTGTGTCTATGATTTTGTTTTTAGCATAGACTAGTTTTAATCATTTAAAACATGGTTCATGATGGAAAGGAGACAGAGGGTTTAAAGCAAAATGAAGATGTAATCATTCATAGTAATGCTTATGTTTGCCTATAAGTGTATATAAACATAGTTATAAATGCTTTATGTGCTCACTATTGATAAAAATGGGAAAGAAAGAGATTGCAAGATGATACAATTAATCAGGAAAGGATAGTTTATACATTGCTTATATAAACACAGATAATTCATTGTTATTATATGATCACATATTGAGTCACACAAGAGTTGTGTCTCACTTGACTGTGTGGTCTTTAGTGTCTCTCGGTACATATCATCCTGCACTAATCTGCACTGCTTAAGAAACAGTAAGCTGTACACTAAAGGCTACTGGACAACACGGTTTCAAGGATCTCATAACTTTCAATAAATTCGTTCTCTGCTGTAAAATTACTCTCCGTTGTAGAGAAAAGTTTAAGGTTCTTAAACTACCTGAGGTCAGACGTTAAATCTGTGACAGAGCAACTAAAAACTTACATCATTTGAGTCAAAGTTCCTTTTCTTCATTAAGTTTCTTTTTTTTCCTTCTCTGACTTTTGCTTTTCTCTCTGTAATTTATACAAATTCCACAGTGCAGGATGTAGGATATTGTTGATACCGGTCACCTCCTGATACAGCACATAACTCACTAATTAATCTGGCCTCTGCTCCGCAGGTAAATGTGCTCCCTGGTTTTACCTTGTTTGTTTTTAGTATCTCAAGTGGCACTTTGATCCTTAAGAGGCCAAACAAATCCCATAAAACAGGCCCTTTCCTTTTGCAGAGCTGATTTTTTGTATACTGTATGCTTCTATTTAGTTGTTCGGTGGAACCACTAATCTTGTGTAGAGCACATTAACTCATTTGCTGTTCAAATTAGTAAAGCGAAAAAGCAAGAGGGGAATTTTGATTTTTTTTTTTCCTTCAGGAAATTCTTTGATGCAGAGTCCCGTTGACAGGCTGTTGAGGTACAGCTGATTGAGGCTTAAGGAATCATTCTGCTGGGAACATTTTTCTTGTTCAGTCATACTAGAGTATTTCCTGTTTTGGCTTAGCAGGAAAGGCTGCATAATATCTTTACTCAGCCTGAGGCCATTTAAATAGGTCCCTGCCCCCGTTGTTGTTCTTGTGCCATGAAAACATGGAAGGGTTGTTGTCTAAGACAGTGTATGCAATACCTGTCCACCATAATGAAGGGCAAAATCGGGGTCAAAACCTCTCCTGCCAAAGTTATGATTCCAAACTGTGTGTAAACACACAGTGTTGATGTGTATGTATCCTTTACTTGAGAAATGACCCATTTTGAAATCCAGATACTGCCAGGTGTGTCATGTGGCATACACATCCACAATCCACTGCAAGTAGTGTCTCAAAGGTGGCACTAAAAGCAAATTTGTTTTTGAGAAACCATGGAGCATAAGCTGAGAAAACATGAGGAAAAATCAGTGACAAACCACTGAATTTTAAGTTCAGCCAACAAGACTGTGTTTTTAATTGCAGCAATTCTTTTGAAATTTAAATGGCATTAATTTGTGCTTTATTTGATTACTGCAACTATTCTTTTTTCAAATAAAAATGGCATGTAGAAATCATTGTCAATTGTTATTTTTCACAATGTGGATAACTGGTATGATAAATAAGTTGCAAGGTATTTCAGGAACAGGGAGAACAGCTTTGCATGTAGATATACTCTGCGAATAAAAAAAGACAGTAAATGTTTTCAGTTGGTAGGAATTGTTCCTTGTACGATCATTCATCTCCAAATGGCTAAATAAGGGCCTGTTGGTCATGCAGCAGTGTTGAATTGAATTCTCAGCTACAGGAGCAAATTCTTGATGAGAAATGACTGCAGAAAAAAGCTTCTGTCTTCTGGAAATTCCAGGAATGATCACAGGACAGACTGTTTGCCTGGCTGCCTGTCAGATGTGTAGCCTGCTTCATTTCCATTAAATATTTTGAAGAAGTGGCATGTTCCGGTGGAGCAGTCTGATTTTGGGAAGTGATGAATTGTAGAATGTGTGTGTGTGTGTGTATACCTACATGGGTACATGCACATATTAATGGGTAAACAATATGTATGTGTACATATTAATATGTATGCATTTGTATATCCCCTAAGCTCCAGATAGGTTCTATATTAATGACATACAAGGTGTGAAAGCATTATGCTGGTCTTTGTTGTAGATTAGTCACAGTCCTTTGTCATATTTTAGTGATCTTATTTGACAGTGAAGATCTTAGATATGTTTTATGCCTATCCACTTACTTTTGAAAATGGCATTGAATTTTTATCTCCCTTCCATATATGTTCATTTTTTTTGTAAGGTTATGTCTCCTTCTCAAAAGCACATGGTATGGGTTTAGAGAATTGACCTTTTATTTTATATGACATTCTACCAGTAGGATTGATATTTGTTGAAAAATCTGTTTGTTAATCCTCTGTGCAACCATATGTATGATGACTGTACAGTTATCCAGTGTGTGTATCATATACTACATAAGCTATAATGATAAATGGGATA